CCTCATGCTCTCGATCAACGGAGGTTTCACATCTCCAACCTCACTTCCGTTATCGTCCCTTCGCTTATTCTCGAATGGGATCTGATGGTTCACGTCGCAGATAGCTGCCAGCTTTCGATCGGATCGAATGGCGTCGAACGGTGGTCGACCATACACCATCTGGTACAAGATGCAACCCAAGGACCACACGTCTGAAGGCTTGCCAGCTTTGTACGTCCTCTTCGCCTTGTCTTCCGAGGCTAGGCTGACGCCACGTTGCTCGTGCGCAAAGATTGTCTCTGGCGCCATGTAATTTGGCGTGCCGATAATGTTGCTGCGGGAAATGTGCACCGTTCCGATCGGTATCTTTTGAGCGATACCAAAGTCGATTAGCTTTAGTCGATTGCCTACGACTAGGAAGTTCGCTGGCTTGAGGTCCGTATGCACTAGCCCTGCTTGCACGTGAATGAATTGCACTGCTTCGAGCATCTGCACCCAGTACCGCGCAATCTCGGTCGGTGGCAGAGGCCCTTGCTTGAGGACAGTGCTGAAGTCTCGATCGCCGACCTCGATCAGCTGTGTTTGGGAGAGAGCAGAATTGATACGTTCAGTCCCACAAGCTTTTCGAGGACACTGTTATACACGACTCACAATTTTGAGCGCGCTCGAGCTACTCTTGTGCCCAAAGTAACGAAGTATGTACTGTTCGTAGCCCGGCTTCTCTGCCAAAGCCTGAAGCGTCTCCACCTCTCGGAGTAAATCGACTCTGGATTGAGGCTCCAACCTCTTCAAGCTGATGTGCTTCATTGCGAACAGTGCCGTCTCGTCTTCGGCAGCAGGTTCAAAGTACGTGCCGTCTTCGCTGGCCCTCTGCATAGGACCTCTCACAGCCCACACGCTGCTGAAACCTCCATCGCCAAGGCGTTGCAGCTTTTTAAACTTGATACCGCGGAACTACGGTGAAGATCGGTGAGCGTTGCTCAGTTTCGCCGCGTTCAATACGAGGCATTCAAAATTACTCACGCTAGTTTCCTTGCATTCAGCGAGCGATTTTCCGTTTCTCCTTTCCATGCTGAAGTACCTGTTGCCCGCTTCTTGTTGTCGTCGGATCTCCAAGTCGACGGCATCAGGGTACCTAGCTCTATCATGCTCTTCCAACTTGATGCGCAAAAGATCATTCTCGTCCAGCTGTTCGTGTTCATCCACTTCTGCGTCGAGGACTGGCGCGACGACGTCTTCCATGGCGCTCGGACGCAAGGCAGATGGTGCTCGCGATGCAGCAAGTATTTCGTCCTCCTGATGTCTGGAAGACGTGCGAGCCGCCGGTGCAGGGGCAGAAACGTACCGTTTGGCTCCTTCAGGCGGTCGCGGAGCAGCTCGCTGATCGGCTGGTCTAGGGGCGATGCCTACCCCCACTCCTTGGCGGGGTAGATCGGGCATAGCTTTGCCGAGCACGCTCTGCCTTCGAGCAGCAGCAGGATGCATCTCAGACCTGGCTGGAGCTGGCGCATATCCTGCTACGGCACTGCCCTGGGATGCGATCGCCTGGCTTCCGGAATGTTTGGATCTGAGTGCCTCCATGTCGTCCGCTTCGCCTTCTTGCTCGTCCTCTTCATCTGCTCCCAGCGTGACTTCGATCTTGGGCTCATCGAATGGCCCATCTGCCCCGTCTTGATGGGTTCCTTGCCTGCTGTGGTGCCTCTCCGAGCCTAACCTGCTCTCGGGTCGGGACGTGCGGCGAGGGTCGGTGGCGGGACTGTACGGTCGAAGCGCGCCCTGTCGGTCAGCTGGTGAGCTACTTAGCTCTCGTCTTGAAGATGTAGGCCGTTGAGCTGCAGTGCCCACATCGTGCCCGTGGTCCGCCTCCGAAGCGGACCCTGCTTCCTGCGGCGAGTCGGAGCGCGAAGCTGATGATTCCACCTCTTCTGGCTCCGGCGCTAGCATAGCCACCGGAACCCTCCTAGCTGGGACGTGTGTGGAGCTGGCTCGCCCTGCGCATGAGCACGGCGGATTGTCAGATGCCAAGGAATGCTGCAGTTTCGCGAATGAAGCGACTCAAGCGACTCACCATTAGTGCGCAAATTTCTAGCGGTGCTTCGAGGGGGATTGGTTGGTCTCAAAGTGCTGGCAGCAAGAGCGGACCCAGCTCTATAGCTCCGAGCATGAGCCGGAGTCTCATACGCTGTGCTTGTGCCTACATGGGCGGCTTCCCTTGCTGCTACCTCCCTTGGAGAGCTGCTGTCTACTCGCGGACTCTGCTTAGATCGATCTGATCCGTCACTAGTGCGACGCGAAGGAACCACGTTCTCGTCAGGTGGCGAAGAAGCGCCGGGCGCGGTGGGCAAGGGACTCTGATTGCCGCGCAGTCGGCTATCTAAGGGACGCACTGTCGACGCTCGTTCGTGCCGATCAGACATTGACGCAAGCATCGAAGTGCCCATAGACGAGACCCGACCATGCCTCGAGCTTACGCCTGAGAGCGGGATCTGCGCCTCTGAGCCCCGCGCTGAGTTTTCGTCCATCGCAGATCGTGGATTGGAATATGCGCCATTACTGCTACGATGAGAGCCTAAAGGGGGGCGCGAAGCATGCGAAGTGCTCCGTGCATGTTTGTATCGCTCCTCGTCATGCGCGTCCGCCTTCTCACTTGGAGCTCCCATACCCAGAAGACCTCCCAGACTCCGACCATGAGCTGAGGTCCTCCTCTCCAAATTTCTTGTGCCGAGTCGGCTGCCCAGATCTTGTCTTTGTCCTTGGTGCCCGTCCCTCCTGGCTTGACCTGCCGGAGGAGTGTTTTCAGCACTGCCGCTACTTGCTGCGTGCCGCAGGCTTCCAGCGCTGGAGCGCACCCTCTTGGGTTCCGGACTGGAAGATCCCGATCCGTTGAGCGCATTGGCTTTGTATGCTCTGGCCATGGCCTCGTCGATGTCCCCCCTACCTAAGTGGTCTCCGCCTGCCAGTCTCTCCCCCAGTATGGCACCACCTCGGGCAGCTGCATCCTCTTCTTCTTCCTCCTCTTCGTACTTTGCGCCATTTCCCATTCCTGCAACATCACCGCCTCCTAGCCTTGCAGTCATTGAGGGTGGAGCAGGCAGAGGCGAGTCCTCCTCGAGGGCAGGAGCGGCAGTTGCGATGCCACCCACGTACTTTCGGGGAGTCGATGGGTCCACAAGGTCAGTCTGGCGAGTCGAAGTGTATGCGCTGGGCAGATTAGATGTATCGCCCAGCGGCCTTCTCGCCGTCGCTGCCATGGTGCAAGCGCAGCTTTAAAGGTGATGGGTTCGACTGGAGTGAGGGATTCCGTCCACTTTGACCAGTACACAGTGCCGTCGGGAGTCTGAGGGGTCGGCAGACTGAATGCCTCAGTCGGCTGGATCGTTTGGCGTTCGTGTTGAGGTGGAACGGTAGCAACTGTAGAAGCCTTGCTGAGCGACGCTGGCAGCTTTGAATGGTGAATGTAAATGCCTCGAGCGAGCAAAATGTCGACTTTCTTCTGCGGGGCGAAAGGACGCTGATGAGGGAAGCCTCAACGATCACCGCTGCTGCTGTAGCACTGTGTGACTTCATGTGACTGTGTGCATGCACTCACGACCAGCATGCACCTGCTGCACGGACTACGAGGTAGACGTGCATTCAGCTGCATCAGCAGCAGCATGGCAACGCAACAGCTGCGTAGTGTACAGTTGTAGGTGGCCATCTCTTTGCATGCATGCATGCATGGCAGGCAAGGCAGCAAGCATCACTCTTGAGTCTTGGACTGCTCAGCAGGGACGCGCGTGATCACACCGCGCGCGCATAGAGAACAACACAGAGAGCAGCGCCATACGCGCCAAATCAGCAAGCATCACACACGGCTCCATTTGATCCTTGATCGTCAATCACCCCAGCCAGCGATGATTCGACCCCGGCGATTTCCTCAGCAGGACCGCTCGAGCTGTCTCATGTCGAATAAAAAGACAATTGTGCTTGATCAAGATGAGGAAGGTATGTATATGGGTACGCCTGGGTGTCATCTCGCCAGCACAGCTTGGTCAAAGCATAGAAGGAGTCCCATACATGCAGCTCTGATGAGCGACGCTGGAACAAGCTCCACACGCGCCACGCTCGCGAGATCGACGCGTGTCAAAATGAATCACGTGACAAATCTCAGCCTTTCCTACATGCCGCTTCCTCAAGGTCACTCACACTCATCAAGATTCACGATTCTTCTGACCCAAATTCAGAAGTCGAGAGTTGAGAGTTTGAATCAAGATTTTCTCAAGAGTTGCCGAATGGGATGAATGCATGCTGTAGGCTCTGTATCGCTGGCCTGGTCAGCCTTTAGCTTCATCTCATCTCGACTTCGTAGCACTTGCGCTCCTCACTTCCACGAAGGTCTCGCTCGCAAACGTGGCAGAAGGGCGACACTGTACATCCCAAGCTTCTCAGCATGCGAGCTCGAGTGCACTTCAAGGATCCTCTGGACCGCGATGACAAGGATGACAAGGAAGAAGATGCGCCAGATGTGGTCACTCCACAACGATCAGCGTCCGCGCTGGTACCCGACAGCATAACGCGCAGGGTACAGGCAGCTCAAACGGGTTGGAGAAGCTTTTCGAGGAGCATCGCCTCGCTCTTGGAAATTCGCGCGGAACGTATGCGAGGGCACAGGCCATCCAGAAAGGCGGCGCTTTCAGGTCGATCTGAGTTCCATGCTTGGGCACCTCTGGGGCATTTCTGACGAGGACTCCACCACACATTCCGATCCGAATGGCATTGGTCGTGAACACAAATTACAACATGATTGGTACTCGATGGGTCACAGTGACGATTGCCGAATGAGTGCAAAAGGTCTTGACTTCGTGTCCAGCACCCCACGCGCAACGGTCAAAAGGGAAGACACCTTGTGGTGCTGGTGATTAAGGTCTCTGTTGTTTGCGCTGCGCACTTCCGCTGAGGTCTCTCTGTTGTCTGCGCTGCGGTCTTCGCGTTCGTATATGGCTGCTGCATGGTGCGCGTGGTGCATGCCGGGTCATCCATGCGTCGTCGCACGGCGGGTGAGTCGCCAGCAGAGTTGTGAGTCACGAGTCGAGTCTTGTGTCACGAGTCGTGCGTCGTGAGATTGAGTCACGAGCGTGAGTGCGTCACAGCAGGGCGCACACGTCGGTGCATACAAGCCTCGCTAATCGCAATTTCTTCTGCCACGCCAGTCACCAGAGCTGAGCCATCCTACGCCTACCAGTCAAGAGTACAGGTGTGCGCCTCGTGCAGCCTAAGGGTCGCCTCAACAAAGCGCAGCCATGTTCGCCCACTGCACACCAAAACTTTTATATTGTAGAATCGAACATTCATCCAACGACTTCAATGGTGTGGAGTCCATTCTTGTTGGGCATGCTGCAAAGATGCCCCGCCCGCCCCTCGACGCCCATCGCGAGTCGTGCGTCGCTCGTGTGCATCTTTGGTCCACTTTGCGAAGCGATAGGCACAAATGGCGCGATGGCGTATCGGTAAAGTAAAGGAAGCCAGACTCATCGCTTTGGCGTGAACCGTCTTGCAAATCGCCGCTGCGATGTGCGGCGCTCTCCTCCGAGTGCAAAGGCCTCACAGTGTGCGAGGACCATTGGAGCAGGTGGTCGCGCTTGGGCCACTACCCGTACAAGCTGCTCATCGCGCGGTGAAGCACGAACCCCTCGGAGTGCTGGGCTCTTTGGGAGGCAGCGGGGAAGGCAAAGTCCCCACTGCGATCCTCCTGTAGCACGGGCCGCTTCATTTCGCTTGCACCCGCCAAAGACCGATCAACCAACGAGTGCGACATTCTCTGAGCGCAATTGAGCCATCCACTCTCCACAGGGGCGCCGCGCACGGTGCTTGTTGATCAAGGTTCAAGAGATTGGACAGGAAGTATGTTCCGTATCGCGCGTGCACGCATCAAAAGAAGTCCATACTGAAAGGCTTGTTGCCTCAAGTCTTGCGCTCAGGATCCCTGTTAAAAAGAATGTCTACACAAAACTCGGAAATATAGATGGAGGATATGATTGCTACCTCCGGCTTGAGAGGCTACCACCACTACGGCGCAAGAATCGCTAATACCCAATCAGTTTTCGGTAGGTTGCTCCATCACTCTACAAGGACCATAGGAGGCAGCCGCTTGTGCTGATTCAGCTAATCAGGCAAGTCGAGGCAGTTACCGCGCACCACTCAGAGCTGCTGCGAGACCGGACTGCCGCGTGGTCTCGCCGGCTGCCCTGTTTTCCTACTCCGGACGCATCCCCCACTCATTTGTACGCCTCACGTTTTGGCAGTCATGCCGGAAGCCCATTCGCCAACGAAAAACGGGGTTAAGGTCGCTTGGTCCGATAACACGCGCTCTCAGGCACCGTTCAACTTAGTGGCAAGCTCGCTAAACGGCCCCAAGATACGCAATGCGTCTCATCGAGAGCTGTCTGTCTCCCTCGACAGCGTTCGGGCACGCAGAGCACCTGTTGAATTTCCTGGCTCAGTCCCTTCAACGCCACATGATCCGCCCCATTCTGCTCGTGATGCATCTGTCGCAGCCCAGCCGGGAACCTCTTGGTCGAATCGTAACCGTTATCCGTCTCTTCTTGCCGAAATGTTTACTGCAGGCAGCGATACGCACGAATCTAGTGCTGCTCCCGCATCACACGCGCTCGAGAGCTCGCACGAAGACTTTCTGAATGGATCGTTGGGATCGCGCAGGATGACATCTCGCCATGGAGCATCTCAAGATCAGCAAAGTAAAACTCTGAGCATCGGCCAGGCCTCCGACCTGCGACTGACTTCACCCACAAAGGTGGCCAAGAGTCCGAGTATGCCCAAGGGGAGACAAGCGCAACTGATGCCGAAGGATGAGATAATGCCCACCTCGCGCCATTTGCTAGGCGAGACTGACGCCCCCTCGACCGGTACATCAGAGGTAAGTACCGGCAGGACGACATTGGCGATAGCGTGCTCTGCTGAAGAGCATCGTGCTTCTGGTCTCTTTCAGCTGGCGCGATTTCTAATGTCCACAGGCCCTCAAGATCACGGTCGGCTCGCGCGACATGGCGCAGGAGCTGACGATGGATTACCGCCCCTGGCAACCCCCGCGCGACATTGGAAGTCGGGTGGTTTGATGTCAAAGCTTTCATCACGCTTGAATGTGGAAGGGAAGTTCAAATCGAACAAAGCACTGGCAAGCAGTGCGGGAGGAAGTCCCATCGACGATGCGTCGAACTCCACGGCAGCTACCACGGAGGCCCAGAATGCCATTTCTCGCGAGTTTGACGCCCAGCTCAACTCTGCTAATCTCATTAAGAAGGTGAGTAGTCGGGTGCATTTCACGGGATCACGAGAGAAATACTCGACTGACCAATTTTCGCGGACTTATTTGACCAAGGTCCTGCCGAATGGCACAAGCTTCTTTACCACGGAAGGCCATCGTGCTCCCGCATCCAAAGCAAACTTGGACTCTCGGGCAACCGGTCGCAGCATCTTGCGGTCTGATGCTCCCACACCAAGCGTTCGAATCGGATCAAAGCGTGACTCTCACCTTCAGCGTAAACCACCTCCCAGCATGATCCCTCGAGTCGTGGTCCACCACGAAGGAGGCTCATCGGCGTCACTCCAATCGCTGCTACATGGCAGAATCAGCGAAGGGCAGTCGCCTACAGAAGGCCGTTCTGCACCGCTCGAGAGAAGGCGCAGCATTCATTCGGTGACGAAACGCAGTTTATCTCTCGCTGGAGCAAATGTGCGCCCCGGCGATCTCCTTGGCCTACATGTCGACGAATCGGCCAAAGGCGATGAGGACGCGCTCGAGCAGCTTACAGAGAAGGTCACAACTCCACGCCATGCGATGCTTTCCTCATTGTCTCCCTCTCGCAGCGATGATGTCAACATTATCAGACAGAGTGCTCGCCATCCCCCCAAACAGCTCCGGAATCAGGCTTCGCACTCAACAAGCATCCTTGCAGATAGTTCTACGAGCGACTCAAACATTGCAACTTCGTCGACTCGCGATACACTGCAGAAGCACATGCCTCGAAGACGCATGAGTCTACCCAAACGTTTGCCGGGACCGGAGAGCGCGCTGCCGTACCTACCACAGCATGTCTCTGCTGGCGAACAAGGTTTCTTCGAGCGACGCAAGGGGAGACCAGATCGTCAGAGGTACGATTCGCACGAGGATGTGGGCCCACTTCTCTCTCAGGATGCTGTGCCTCTTGCCCGCCACAAAATGTCCAACGACACTGCCTTGAAGCCTGGTGCCAGAGATTTTTCGACGGGATCTTTGCCAACTGGCTCGCTGGGCATCGTCCAAGACGCGCGCTGGAGAACGGGCAGTCTTCCGCCAAGTTCTGCGTCGTTCCGCTCTTTACAAGTAGGCAGCTCCTCTTCTGGGGCACCTGGTATTGCTGATGCAAAGCACGGAGCAGCTGCATCCAACCAACGCTACCGTTACCGCAGATCTATCATCTCGTTGCCGACACGAGACCGTGCGCAGAGCTTCGCCGAGCAAAGCAGTTTGCCGTACATGAATCCCCTACGAAACTCAGGCTCAATTCGCGAAGACTCTCGTGTGCGCATTGCCAAGGACGCCACAGCAGCAGTGCAGGAGTTGACCAGACTCAAGAGCATGCAGCCCCTGCGGCAGCCCTTGACACAGTCGCATGCCGTCCTTTCGGGCGCTAGCAGGAAACTTCAGCTTGGTGCTGCTGCTGCAACGCCGCCTCACTCTGACTCGGCGCTGCGCATCGCCAATCCAACGCAGATGCTTACGCCGCAGAATCAACTCCCTGCCAAAGCGTCGAGCGACAGTCTTCCCACCTCTACACCCATTTCTACAGTTTCCACACCTGTCACGTCAAACGTCACCGGCAATGTCTCAGCCCGCGCCGACCCCGCTCACAGAAGTGAGGCTGATGGCGGCAGTCAGACAATCGTCGGTGACTTGCAGACCAGCAAGGTGTCAAATGTTCGAAAGTATCACTCCGAGTCTCGTCTGAGACCGCGCAGTGGACCGCCATCGCCCCCGTCCGACAGTGTTGCCGACACACTGCGGCAATTGGAGGGCTGCAAAGAAGAGATGCAACCCCTTCAGCCCTCAGTTTCTGGACCATCTGGCCCTTACGGATCCGCGGCGCTGCGCGGAGACGGTGCGAAAAAGCAGTCTGCCACTGCGCATTTAGCTTTCAAGTCTCGGACCTCAATGATCGTAGATGGACTGCCTGTCCTGAATGTGGACGATATGGCCACTTCGCGCTTCTCTTGCACGTCATCAGAAGATGTGGTTAGCCTGCACGAAGAGCTGGACAGCAGCGATCCAGCTGCTGTCGAATACACGACAGGAAATAGAACATCGCCGTACCGCGAGAGTGCGGAGAAGTCTGACAGTCGAAAGTGCGCCGAGATTCAGGAACAGCCTGCACCCGCTTCGCCTGACTCTTGGGTCACCGAAAACGAGATCCCTTCCAGACCTGTGGTCGTTTCTATGGAACGTGCCCCGTTCGCACCTCAAGGTTCGCATGGCAGCCATGCGCACCAAGATCCTGTCGAGGTGCTCAACGACGGTCGGCAAAGTAAGTCGCGGCCCACATCGCCCGCGGACACCGATATGAGCTGCACGGTGCGGCCTGATCGAAACGACCCGAGCCGCGACTTTTCGCGCGTACTGGGATCTTTTGGTGGCGCCGCCAGCAAAGCAAGTGACTCAGGCTCGCTGGAAATGTCGGATGGGGTGGACGGCAGCCCCACAGGACAAGCGCGTGACCACAATGCAGGCTCTCGCCTCAGCTACTCAGGATTGTCTTCCCGCAGCAATGCGTCTTCTTTGTACACGGCGTTGCAGCAAGCGCGCAACGATGCTCTCCTTGCCGAGAGCACAGCAAGGGCATCTTCAGTCCGTTCCCGGCAGCTTGCCAAGCGATGCGTAACCGTGCTCGAGCGGGTTGCCGAGGTATGCGCGCTCTCGTCCGACGTCAAGCACGCAGCTGATCCAAATCGAACGAGAGCCGCATGGGGGGTAGAGACTTATGACCAGGCACAGAGGCTGGTGAAAGACTTGCTTTCGTTCATCGAGGAGATTCCGACCAATCATCGCGAGGTGGCAGCTCGGCGCGGAATCGATGGCACCGCTCTTGTGATGCACGCTCAACGCGTCAGCACCAGTCAAGCGACGCTGATTCGCTCCAAAGGTCCCATGCGAGGCACTGGCGATTCTGCTCAGCAACGCCAGAGATCAACATCAGCCTCCTCCTCGGGAACGTCGATAAAGACTGCAAATGAAGTTCTTCCACCGTGTCCCACATTACCTCACAGCTCCCCAGAGTCTCCGAGTACACCACTCAAATCTTCAGTCTCTGCCACTTCCTCGCCGATGTCCTCAACATTCGCGATGCGCCCCTTATCCCTGTCCAGAACATCTCGCAGCGATCTTTTCTCGCCTATTCGCAAGGCTAAAGAAAGTTCAGGAAGTGCCAGCACGCGCAGCACCAGCAGCACTTCTTCTCGCGCCGGCCAAATACCTTCGGGCCTGCCCGGTACGCTCAACGCTTCTCGTTACGTCATGGCACCCGAAGAAGCCGCCTCTTGGCTGCACAATCTCTCACCAATGCCAAGCCCCGACTGACGTGTGTCGTGCGCGGTAACGACAAAGACCATCTCGCACAACACTCGCCCGACTTCTGCGCAATGTAGAGTGCCTCCTCCAACTCGCTTATTCTAGGCGTTTTCCCAACCCCAACATTTCGTCAGCATGTTCCTCTCCGTCAAGAAGAAAAGCAACGGTCGAGGCAAGATCGAGGCAAGCGATGCTGTCTCGTGAGGTCGAAGCCTTGCTGTCCTGTTCCAAAGTGCACACTGCTTGCTTTGCCTCCTCAGCTGCTGCACCACCATCGCCATGTCTCAGCGGTTCAGGGCCGGTTCCTTTCGCTGCTATGTCATCTACACGCTCTCTGCAAAGCCTCCAGTCATCTCGCCCTACATCTCGAGCCAATATTCAAACACACGCGATGAACAGCGTGATTATGATGATAGCATGGTCATGGATAGTGAGTGTCTGAGCACCTCACACGATGGATAGATCAAGATTACAATGGGGCTCGTGGGCCTGGCTATGAGACAGCGACTGGAAGACGTGAGAAGAAGGGCTCATGCTTTACACAGATGTGTGAGACTGATCGAGCCGCTCAAAATAAAGCGGGCAAGTCGGCGTGTAAGTGTCGGTGAAGCGACGCTGCTTAGGCGCCGAAACCGTAGAGAACACGACCCTGGCGCTTGAGCTGCGAGGAAGGTAATGCAGGAGCGAGGGCATAAGAACATACGACGATGACAGAATCGCGCATCTGGATTGAGACTTACAGCGTAGACGACGTCGAGCGAAGTAACAGTCTTGCGCTTGGCGTGCTCAGTGTAAGTGACAGAGTCACGAATGACACCCTCGAGGAAGAGCTTGAGGCATCCACGGACCTCGTCGTAGATGAGACCGGAGATACCTGTTTGTTGTGACGAGATCGTGCAAACCCGGGTCAACACACCGAGAGTCAATGGTAGCAAGGATGAAACAATGGGGGTCCCGTCACTCACGCTTGACACCTCCACGACGTGCAAGACGACGAATGGCGGGCTTGGTGATACCCTGGATGTTGTCACGCAAAATCTTGCGGTGACGCTTGGCGCCGCCCTTTCCCAGACCCTTGCCGCCCTGTCGATCGATAAAGCGTCAAGTCAGCAAGAAATCGTGATGAGAAATGCACCTGATGATGACCCTCACCTTTCCGCCTGTGACAATGACAAAGTGATTGGGAACGAGGAGTGTGGTGAAAGATGTAAAGTCAGCATACCGTGTCCGTGCTGAAGGCATGCAAGTTCACGGTAAAGATCGCCACCAGTCATGCTAGGCCAGGTGCCGCCCGCACACAATACCCCATGCCAGTGATTTAGGCATGACCAATCTCGTCACAAGCAAAGGCGAACGACCCACTCACGACCAGACATGTTGACTTGAAGTGTTGAGGTTGTTGTTGTTGAGTGTGCTGATGCAAGAGACCGCTCCAAGGTTGAGCGATACGAAGTCGATGGGGTCGATGCTTGATATCGAAGTCGAGAATGCTGTGGTGGTGGAGCTGAAGCAAGGCTCGATGCGCGCGCGCAATTGCATTTGAATGCGCGCGCACTGTTCGCCCGCGCGGGGGG